TTTTAGTTGTTGGAACTGAACCACGAAACCTCCGCTTATATTCCGTTTTTCGTAATACTTTCGTGCCCAAAAGGGACGTTTCCTTAATGTTTTTCGTATACAACATCTAAGATATTATCACCTTCAAAGCCCATTATGTCCATTTCAAAAAATATGGAATATTTTGTGCATTAAAGAAAATTTGTGTATTTAAAGGAGCTGGCCCAATGCAGGCTTGCTTTGGTTGCTTCGCTGCGAGAAGTGTCAAAAATTATTTGGAATATACTAAAACGTATAAAGGCTGGCCAAATGGCAGCTTTTCTTCACTTGCTTTAAGCGCCGTAAAATTTGAAATAGGCAAATGTTTTATTTGAAAGCGTTTTGTAGACTTTTGACAAAGAGTTATGTTCCTTTCAAAATACATAAATTCAACCAAAAATTTACTTACTTAATTTAAAAAAGTCACAGAAAGTGCAGGTAATTCGAAATGAAATACAAATTATTCATTGTTTCCATATTTATATTTAACATATCGTTATCTTATAGTAAAAAGTTGCAAAGCCCAGTTTTACAAATTTTATACGAGAGGAAAAAAATTCTTATAGCTCTTTTCTTCAATTAAATCGCTTTTTTTAAGTTATACAGGCAGGTTCTGGAATCCGAGTGAAAGTGAATATGAAAATGAATCTAAAACCGAGTGAATTTGATTTTGGTGTTCTGAAAACCGAATTTTTAGTTCATTTTAGAACTCGGTTTTTGATTCACGCTGAAAATGAACTAAAGCTGGTGATGAATAAGTAAAGATGAACTTAACAGCTGATAGCTGTCAATTTAACCAAAACAAATAATAAATTTTTGGATAAAAAAACGAAAAATGAGTGCATTAACTACGTTTGCGGCTATTTTAGTAGAAAATGAGAGACTTGCAGAAGAAACCCTTAATAGAAGGATTCTGCGCGATCATTCCAATCCTTTAGATGTCTCTGAATTGGTGTAAGTACTTGGTGTTCGCTCTTAGTGGCAATTTTGTACAAAAAATTTAAATAGGTTTGTATCCAGCTACCGGGTCAACAAAAGTGCATTTAACATGTTATTGGACGTTGTTGTTCTGCATTTAAAAGAAACATCCATTCCGGCGCAACTGCAATTGGCGGCCACACTAAGGTTTTTGGCGGAAGGTGGCTTCCAAAAGGCTGTGGGAAAAGATAGTTATATTGCAATGGGTCGTAGTACGGTTGCAAAAGTAATTACACGCGTGCTAAAGATTTTAGAAAAATATATATGTTCCCGGTGGATAAATTTAAGCATGACCGAAGACGAGAAAACGAAATCGAAACAGCATTTTCATCAAAACTTTGGTATACCCGGAGTCATTGGTTGCATAGACGGGACGCATATTAAAATAACCAAGCCGCATAAAGATTCCAGCCTATTTTACAACAGAAAAGGTTATTTTAGCATCAATGCAATGATTGTAAGTGCTTATTTAACTTATTGACAAAAATTATGCTCGAATTAACTCAATTTTTTGAATATATTTTTGTAGATATGTGATTACAATATGGTAATCAGAGCAGTTGACGCTCGTCGTCCTGGTTCAAGTCATGATGCTTTGATATGGAGTGTCAGCAGAGCTCATGATTACTTCAAACGCAATTACGATAACGGTGAACGCGGCTTGTGGCTTTTAGGTGATGCTGGGTACGCACTTCAACCTTTTTTGTTAACCCCATTTAGAGACCCAAATGTTGGGACAGCACAGCACATATTTAATCTGGAGCATTCTTCAGCGCGTAATGTTGTAGAAAGAACAATAGGGGTTCTAAAAAGCCGATTTAGGTGCCTTTGTCGATCTCTACAATATCAACCTGAAAAGGTGGTGCAAATTACAAATGTTTGCTGTGCATTACATAATATCTGTAGACATTATAAAGTGCAGGAGTTAGTTGAGGCAGGCCCTATGGACGAGGATAATGAACCTGTTGTTGAAGGAATAATAAACGAAGCTACTCTTGATGGCGAGGCTATAATGATAAGGGAGGATATCGCGACGCGCCTATTCTCGAATTCATGAAAAATTAATTTGAATACTTAAAGTGATACAATTTCCTGAAAGTTTAAAGCGCCTTATTGAATAAAATGCTCATATTTATATTCACTTCAATAAAATGAAATGCAATTCACTATTTATTAAAATAAAGTTCAGATTCATATTTAAACCATAACATACATTAATATATACATTGAAAAATATGTATCTACAGAAAATTATTTACAGAAAACTATTTACAGAAGACTACTTAAATAAAATTATTTACAGAAAATTTTTAACTTAAAACAATTCACTTGAAACTATTAACTTAAACATGTAATGCAAACTAAAATTTAATTCATTTCAGTAACTAAAGTTCATATTAGCTACTTCGTTTAGAATGGTTTTTTAAATAAATCTTAAGTTCTTCTATTTCAATTTCCTTAAGTTTTAGCTCGTTTTCTTCTTGGCGTAGTCTTTCCATTTGAGCATGGTGACGCTTGTTTTCAACATTCCCTTCCACTAACGCAGCTGTCATTTGTTTAACGGCTTCACAAAGGCTGCTAATGCCACTACTTACATTCTTTGTGGCCTCCACATTTTCTGTAAGTCCTTCTGCTAAGGAATTCATTGCATTTGTTTGCTCGCTAATGTTCGACTTTAGAGCATCAGTCACCATAGGTTCCCGTCGACGGGATCGCGCTGCTATAGCTGCACGGCTTGTGGATGGCACAGCATCTTCGTCGGAGCTTTCGGAGGTTGCCTCCTGGTTTCTTTCAGAAGACACACCAAAGTCTTGTGTGCCTGAAATGCCCTCCACCACAGTGTAAATTCCGCACATTTGGGCTATAGCATCTTCTGTTGGTGTAAGGACATGCTTGTTAAATGGTCCTCCACTAGTTGCTCTGGCTTCCGAGTTATTGTGCGCTACTTTTTTTCCTGATGAAGGCCTTCCAATCCATCCAAACCTGTTATATTTCGATTACAAAATATTTTGTATAGCCAATTAGTATACTAGAGTTCACTCTTTGATGCGAAACTGTGTGCGTTTGAGCGAAAGTGGGAAAATCGACAGTTTTTTATAACAAACACATATCACCGTTATGGCGTCGTTTCGCACAAACGCACAGCAAAGCAACAAAACAAACGTTAATTTTTGCGTTTCGCATTTTTGCATCAAAAAGTGAACGTCTTCTTTATATTTTTTTACTTTTTTCCAGCCAGAAACATCCTTTTGGGGAGGACCATGCTCGTTCAGTTCGACGACTAACTCCTTCCACAGTGCGTCTACTTTCGTTTTGTCTCCCTTTACATAGCCCCGTGCAATGTCCTTGTGGTCTTCCATAAATTTAAGAAGGACCGCCTCCTGTTTAGAATTCTTATGTTTTCCCCTGAAACCATTAATTTATGTAAAATTTGTTACTCTATTATTCTTATTAGTTTTTTTATTAATATATCTCATTAATAATTTTAAATTTACTCACATCTTCGTCTCGATCACAACCGCTAATTCAAAATTTGTGTGTATGCATAAAATCCACAAACTTGAAACGAAGTGAATGAAATCCGAAGATTTTTTCGCGGATTCGTTTATCAGAACATCCAAATTCACTCGGAACTCATTTTGGAAAAAAATGTGGAAATGAAACTCGGAAAGTGAAACACAGAACACCAAATGTCGGATTCAAAGTGAATTTGGTTCAAATTCACTCGGAAGTGAATTGCAGAACCTGCCTGATAGTTTTTTTTAGTAAATGTATATAGATATGTATGTATCATTATTATCATTTCTTTTAAATACAAACATTATATCGCATTAATCTAAAAATAAATCTGAAAGTGTTTGATAAATTTTTTAGAGTTTTCTAGGAAATAATTACTAACGTTAAGGGAGCAGACATTGACTTTTCAACCAGACAGCTGGTTACTTTGACAGCGTTCCAAGCCACCATTCGGCCAAGCAAGTTTTCAAAGTAAATCAAAGCAAATTGAAGGCAGCAAGGCGCGCAAAGCAAGCCCGCATTGGGCCAGCGCCTTAATTTGTTTATTGCTAAAGAAATGTCTACGTCAAAGTTATAGGAAATAAATATATCGTTCTCACTCTTTTCTATATAGAGTTGGTGGCTCTTTTATCAAAAAGTT